CAGGAGAAAGCACCAGGGCACAGATGAAATTCCAATGGAATGGAGTTTATTAACAAAGGAACACATGGGATAGATTCCCTTCCAGGTAGGGAAAATTTCTGCCCCCAGGTCGTGAGCTGGAGTATTTTATAGGGGGAGGCTTCTGGGAGGTGGGAGAGCGGGACTTGTAAAACCTGCCCCCTTTAGAGATTAAAGGGGAAGCCTGCTGTGCTGACCAAACTGGAGAAAAGTCTGCTACTGTGTATCTGAACCCTTCGTTGGTCAACCATCTTCTTTCTCATAGTTAAAAGATGGATGAACTAGTCCTGGGTATCTTTGTCTTATGCAATAATGTGTCTCTCTCCTTTATATCAAGGTGGAAAACCTTTTCTTGATGTCAATTCCCTGGTAAACTTTCCTTGGACTTTGGAATGAAATTTAAATATCCACAGAAATTGATTGTCACATGATCACTTCTACCTACAAAAGCAAATTAGGAGACTACAGTGAGGCCAAGTCCTGCTTGAATGGAAAGAAATGATGACAACCATCATATGGAGAAAACAGTGTCTACAATACTGCCCGGTGCTCACAATAATGAGCCAGAGTCACTCACAATGTTTATAAATAAAGTTACATCTACAAGACATACCCAAGACAGGGTAACCTTGCTAACTTCTTTTCTAACATGTAGAAATGAGAACCAACAAAAGTTGGTGTCCTCAGAATGATGACAGAGGACTAACTCTTTCTCTCTCTGTAAGATGGGTAGTAGTAGGCTCTGCTTACAGAAAAGGGTCCACGTGCCTCTAGGTCCATCTTTTACAGGTTACTTAATTGGGTAAACTCTCACTTGATTTATCAATCTTTTGAGATTCAAAACCAACAAGATCTCTGGTCTCTGTGGTATAGCAATCTTTCTAATTCCAAACTATCAGCAATACATATCAGTATAACTATAAAAGGGAGGCCAAGCCAGACAGTCCTATGCCTGTCATGTTCTTACATATCTATTCAAACCAACTGAAAGAATATGTTAAGAAAATGAATTGCACAAGTTGGGTGTTTGTTTCTCCACAAATTAGGGAAAAGGCTCTTTCTGCTGTATTGTTGCTTTCCAATTTCTAGCCAAACCCCTGTAGTTCTCATCACGCATCATTTTTGAGATTAATGGTGTGCACCCAGTTAATGGAAAGCAGCAGATTAGGTTTCCACTAATAGTTTTGCAAGTTATGTACGTCGTCTGTCTGCCTCATTTAGCAACAACCTTGCTGTTCAGCAGGAAAATAATGGATTTAATTCCAAAGCAGAATTCCGTTTCATGCACACAAGACATGTTGGATTCCAAGACAGGAAGACTTTACTTTCTTAGAGGTGTACAGATCTTTAGTTATAATGTAACCCGAGATTAGACTCTGAAAAGACTTTGTGTGCCTTTTTTGCTTATTTATTTGGCAATCAACTTCAGAATCTACAGCACTATCTGAAGCCTAGAAAAGCATATGTCATAATACCTTCCAAGCATGACACGAAATAAATGCAATATGGTAATTTCTGTTAGTATTGTTCTGAAGACAGATGAAAAACAGTTTCATATATATAAACATATAGTAGCATACTACTACTATGATAATTGTTAAAAAAATACTTTTACATCTGTTCTTTCTGTTTGACAATGGAAGGTGTGTACTGAATGGGTTCTTTTGCTTACAGGTGTCATAACACAAACACAATCTGCCATTGTTTTAGTAGACTGTTTTCATATCCATTCATGAGACATGGAAGTCATAAGAGTAATGACTGACAAACAGATTTCTCCACAAACTATGCTAAAAACAAAATTAAAGAAATACCAAACACTGCAATCCAATGGATTACTTCACTGGTGAAGTTTGTCCACACCTGAAGATAATTTATCCTAACAAATCTAACTGCATGTTCTAGTTCTTTACATTGCTTCCTGGGATCTCAGTGAAATCCCTTTATAATCAAGGCAGCCATACGGTACTACATTCTTTGCCTAAGCACAGAGTGATTTTCTTTTTAAATATTTTCTTAAAAATATTTTCACTCTTTTTTTTTATACAAAATAGTTTTGGAATCTCAAGCAATTGCTTAAAGAGACTTGGATATTTTCCTTTCTTTTTTTTATTTATTTTTTTCTAAGACAATGTCTCAAACTGTAGCCCTGGCAGGCCTAGAATTTGAAGGGCAATTCTCCTGCATCATCCTATGGACAGCTTCTGTATCACAATGTGGTGACCTTTTTGATACACAAAAATAGAAAATCTTCCAAATTTTCCCCAAAGGAATGTCAAAACTGCCTCTGATATCTGGTACTTAAAGCAAATGAGTGACTCTCTAAATGAAGGGATTAGCAACAATGGCGTCACCTATTGAAACATCTTACCAGGTTCAGCCTGTAAATCAGCACTTATCAAAAACTTTGCAGACACTTGCTATTGAAAGCTATCTACTATGTATGGGTATTTTTCCATGGTATTTTCTAATAGCAAAAATGCTATATCAGAAGACTGGTATGGTGGCGAACACCTTTAATCCCAGCACTCAGGAGGCAGAGGCAGGTGGATCTCTGTGAGTTAGAGGCCAGCCTGGTCTCCATAGCGAAATGAGGGTAGCTGTGGCTACAGGGAGACTGACCA